CGATCTATCGGGCCCAACTGTTCTTCACCTATCCTGAACCTGGAACTGCACACAAGAAATGGAGACCAACATGGAAGCAGGTCATGACCAAGTCTCTGCCCAAAGATAGGGCTGGTTGGCATGCCTATGTTGAGAGGGGTAATAATGACTGGTGTGAAGAGCTTCACATCGAAAGGGGGTTTGTACGTGCATTGGCTGTGGGAGGTGTAGCAGGGATGGATCGATGCGGAGAGTTGGTTGTTGAAGGTACGGACGGGATGGTGCATTCATTCAACATCCTTGCCAGCCACCAGTTCCCGATACCCGAAGACACGTACACACTGCTCAGCAGCAATCCAGTGTCATGGAACGGCAAAATATGTTCGCCGCAATATTGGGTTGTTGGGCGACGACTGCCAAGGAAGAGGTTTCAGAAAGTGTCTGTGTTTACTATGACTGACTTGATTGAAATAAAACGGCTAAAGAAACTAGGTTTAGCTGCAAAGTCTCGTAGTATTCTTGCTTGATCGTGAATACCCACATTATGATAATTTTGTACACAATTCCGAAACTATTGTGCAATTTATTCCACGATGAAATACAGCGCCAGGCGTTAGAAACACGGGTGTCGCAAAACTTACCGCTTTCAAATGGAATATTCCGCGTAGGAGGATTTGCCTGCGTAGTGATATTCGCACCCTCTCTTTGAAGGATGCAGGGATGAAGCTGAGAGCGTCATTTCTTCCACCGTTTGATGTTCTGCGGTCAAGGGTTCGATTTCTCCTGTAGTCGTTCGAATTTCCATCGTAAGAGGTGCGATTTAACAATGTCTCCACCCCATCTCTTCCGTCAATCTCTTCTGTCAGCTTGCCTTGAATGGAAAGTCGCCTACGAACGACGGGAGTGCCTCAAGTGGTCGCCTCGAAACAGAGCTTCGAGTGGACGCGTCCTGGGCTGAAGTCGAACCATTCATTAACGGAGAGCTAGCGAGCATGCTGGGTCTCTCAGAGAAGGTTGGGAGCCGCGAAAAGCTGAAGGGGTAAGTGATCGAATGAACATATTTATCTTTGAGATGGACGCGTTAGGGTTGCCCGGATTATTATCCCCCCGTCGACCGGCTTCCTAGTCGCTTAGAGTCAAAATCCTTCATGGACCGAGGGTAGGAACAAAAGCAGAAGTTTAGTCGGGAATGGCACATGGTGCTGACGCCGTACTTGAAGATTGCTTTGAGATTGTTTTTGAAAAATAAAACGAAAATGTCGCATTATATGGACTATGGAGTACGACAAGAGATGGCAGATTCCTTGTCAATCCTTGGGGGCCATGAATCGAATGGGATCTTCAATCTTTATGCAACACGGTGCTCTAGTCTACAAGAAAGAGTTTGTTGAGCTGTAGAATGAAAAAATAATAATAAATGTACGTACCACTACCGAGGAATCTCATCTGGCAAAGTACGCCCCAAAAGGTTTCTAAACCTCCGCTTTTCTTGAGCTGCACCAACCCAGTCCGATGTTTCTGGTCGTCAAGGGCGCTCAATTTCTCCTGGGGTCGTTGGAACTTGCGCCCCGCTGAGGAGATGTGAAGCTACATCGGTCCCGCCGCGAACTCCGCCGTTGGCCCTAGGTTCCTGCTTTCTGCCGGTGCCCGTGTTCCTCTTCCGTCATCAAGCCACGGCTCATGAAAGGCTGCCTTGAATGGAACGGCGCCCGTGAATGGTGGGTGTTCCTCGAGTGGTAGAGCTAACAAAGACCTCGGGTTTAAGATTTTGTCGTTCGAAGACGGATCGAGCGGCGCATTGCTGGGCTTCAAGTTCGCGGTAGTCCAAAATCGTCCGCTAGTATATCCTGTTCGCTCCACATTCAGCCCATTGAACCATTTTTTAGATGGACAGCACTTGCCTCCTTCTTCGTGAACTCGACGAATGGAATTCTAGATTTGAAGATCCATCTACCGAGAGAGTATCCGTCTATCCTTCTCGACTTCCATCAAGAATGTTCCCTCGGTCGCTACACGTGGCGCGTCTTCCGCTCATTGCGGGTGGGCGAGGAGGCTCTGGGAGGCGGCGTGTATGTTGTGGTTGTGCTAGTGGATAGAAGGCCATCCCCACATACCTTCCCTCCTTTCCACCTCGCTCATCGGAAACTGATACCTTGGCAGCGCCGAACGGAGTTCACTAAGTGGCAACAAAGAGGTGGAACAGGAGAATACGTTGATTGTTTGCAGGGTCTACACGAGGGTCAACATTAGTCAAAGAATGGAGAAAGTATAATTCACCGGCCGTGCCTTGGCTCACATCTCAGTGGACTCTCCAAATTGATATATTTGATACGTCGTCTCTGTGCAAAGCTTGCGACCGAAATATGGACGCTGAGGCAGAGCGAGATCAGCCAAACAGAAACATAAGCATGAAAATACGACTCACGTCCAAGGTTCAACTTCATAATGCAAGAATCTAGCCTCGTACTTGCATTCAGGGAATCCATTGGTCCTGAGTTGATTTATTCCTAGAAAATAAATCACGTTAAAGCGGCTGAAAGCTGGTGGGATGTCGGTATGTATTACTCATACCATCTCGAGTGTCTGCCCTTCGTCCTACCAAATATACAGCGTCGGACTAGATTTTCCCTTCGCCTGTTAAACTCGACAGTTCCGTTGAAATGTGTCCTGATGTTGGCTCGTACGATCCTCATGGTGTGGTGTGGTGGTGTGTATATGGTAAGAAATAGCGTTGATGAGTAAATATAGAATGAAATTTTCACGCTTATCCGTCGGGCCGTGTTCCCTGATTCTGACGATGATCATCGGCAAGCCGTTGCAGTGGCCTGATGTTGTCGCGGGAATCTACTTGCTAGTGAAAACCCGAGCTGTATTCATCATCGACAATCTCTGATGGTAGCACTATTTTCAGTCCTAAGAGTAGCCATCGACGCTCTACGAGAAATCGTCTCTTCGTACCGCCGCGTCTCCAAACGGATAAAGCAATCTCCTGGACTCCCAGTTCCCAATCCTACTACACCATTCTGGTCGATCCCCGCGTCACCCATCCAGAAAGAAGGCTCGTCTGCAGCCCTGCCAGCATGCGCGGATATTGTAATTATCGGCTCTGGGATAACGGGCACGGCGTTTGCGCGTACGCTGCTTGATACGGACGGGTCTTTGGAGGTTGTAATGCTTGAAGCGAGAGATGCGTGTTCTGGGGCCACAGCGCGGAACGGGGGACATATCACGCCACCGCTATACCACGACTACCTCGAATTGAAGAAGAAACACGGTGCAGAGGCAGCGAAGCAAATCATCCAGTTCAGACTCTCGCACCTGGACGAGCTGATTAGCGTTGCAGAGGAGGAGGGCTTGACGGAAGAGAGCCAGTGTCGCAAGGTGGATACCTATGATGTCTATTTTGACAAAGACGTATTTGAGGGAGCCAAGGAGAAGCTAGGGGCGCTACTTGGAGGAGCTGCCGAGCGAGAAGGCTGGCTGGGGTACGACGGACGGGCCGGCGGGAATGCAAGCTCGCGGACGGGGTGTGCGGGATCATCTCGACGAACGGGCGGCGCGGTGCATCCATATCGGCTCGTCACAGGGAATACTATCGCGCCTGCTCAAGACGTACTCTTCATTCCAGCTGTACACGCACACTCCCTGTCTCTCCATCCACTGACAACATCGTTCATACGCCCCGCGGTGATATCCGCGCCAAACATATCGTCCATGCTACTAATGGATGGGACTTCCCACCTCCTCGCGCCGATGCGGGAAAAGATTCGTTCCCGTGAGAGGCCATATGACGGCACAGCGCGCATGGAACTGGCTTGGACGATGGATGGCTCGGCTACGCGATCGTTTGTGCTAGTACCCAAGCGCGTCCGAGGATCGATGGGACTACCTCACCCAACAAGCCGCCCTAACCCTACGACACTCGGCGAGAAGCCCCACGCAGAGTTTATGTTTGGCGGTGGTATCGAGATGGGCACCCAGTCCTTCTTCGACGCCGTCGGATGTGCTGACGACAGCCAAGTCGAGTTTCGAGTGTCTGCATACCTTGGTGGGGCACTGGCGGCGTATTTCGGGAAATGGTGGGGAGGCGAGTCGGCGGATGTGGATGATGATCACTTTGAGAGAGGGCGCGTGAAGAAGGCGTGGTCTGGTGTCTTGGGCATTTCTGTGGATGGACTGCCCTGGGTTGGTAGCGTTCCTTCAAAGGTGTCAGGCCGGCCGGAGGGAAGAGAGTGGATTGCAGCGGGCTATTCGGGCGAGGGAATGGTCCACACGTGGATGAGCGGAAAGGCATTGGCGTACATGGTGCTGGGGAAAGACGTTGATTGGCTCCCTGCCCCGTTTCGCGTCACAGAAAAAAGGTGGAGAAAGGCGAATATAGCGTCTTTGCTATAACCATATGTTTATCTTGTAGACTATGCATCGGAATATCCGAAACACTCCCCCCTCCTACTGTCACGACTTTTTGTATCCTTCTGACGCTGGACTCCAGACGTTGGCACACGATTCAATTCTTCGCTCAAATAAAATGACAAATCGCGTTTGGCGGTCCAGTTCTCGACTCATTTGCGCACGAATACCAAATACAATATTGACAATGCAGCTGTAGCACATGCGACGCGTTCAACCTCTGAAAATCTAAATTATCTTCCCCGCTCTCGGATCAAATCAGCTCGTCGTCTTGTAGTTATCCGAAGACACGGCGATTCGTCTTGACCTATGGTGTGGAAACATGCGTGTGTTGAGAAATCGCCAGCGAAATACTTACTGATCGGGTTCAGACAAGGCCCTGGTTCTTTCTACGCATGCCTCTTCTCCTTCACCGACGTCCTTGACAGTGGCGGATCTCGTCGCGTGCGAGGGAAGCGAGGATGAATTGTTGGAATGTATGCGTCGCGTGGATCAGTCCTTGGGAACGAGGAGGACTAGGGCAAGACCCGAAAGCCGCATGCTCCAGCGTGTGCGGTAAAGATTCTATATGCTGCACCCAAGTAGCCAAAGACGAGTCCGCGTACCTATACGACACGATGGATCAATGGTAGATCATCTCCAACCTATTATGAGACAACAAACCAAGGTTGTAATGTAGGAGGAAATCACGGTTCGATTCCGTGTTGTGGCACTGGTCCATTCCGAACGCAGATTGCAATACTTTTGTCCCTCCACTATGTATTAAAAGAAGCATACGTTCGTCAAGGTCGTTGCTACACAAGAATGCCTCATATGTTTCTCTTGTAGGTATACGAAGAAGTCGGAAATATCCGTGCAGTCCTTCCCTCTTACCATCACTCTGGATCGGCGCGCTATTTGGTCAATTCTTCGCTGTTCCTGCCGTTGGACAATTCCCTGCACAAGTGGGAAAACGTATCCAGGACTGATGCTCTCTTATCCTCCTTCGAATACCCCAACCGCCGCTTGATGGATGGAAAAAGTCGAAGAGAATGTGTTTCACCATCCGGTTCTCGTTTTGTAAACAGGTGAGGATAATACTGCATGGATTCGAGTCGGCTTGACGTCAAACAATGAAGAGGACCCGTACAACGTCTGCCGCCACCTCTTCCCCGCTGGAGAGATCACTTCTACACGGGCTTAGAGTCGCCTACACCTACACCTTCCCTCCCCGTTTGCCATCCTTTCTCTGATCCTTCATACACGCTTTTAGAGTAAATTATTATGGGATCGGGAGAATTCCCTAAATCGAAAATACGAAGCTGGGCAAGGATGTCGAACGTTTAAGTGGTCCCCATCGGCAAGTAATTACGACGTGGACTGCATTAGATCCTCAAATTTCGTACAATGCAACATGTTTGACCTATTAGTCTCTAATCCACAATGAACTCATCACTTTTGAGTGCTTTCCAACGTGCAGCTAATGCAGGATCGTCCAATGTCAAGGGCTTATCTAAGTAAACCTTTTCTAACATTACACCATCCTCCTCTTCTTCGGCGTCCTGGTTGTCCTCTTGGTCTGCTCCTTCGTTGTTCTCTTCAACATCCTCTGTTTCACCTTTCGTCTCTTTACCGTCCTCGCCCTCGTTTTCGTTGTCCCCTCCATCATCCTCTGTTTCACCCTGCATCTTCTCACTGTCGTCCTCTTCCGAGTCCCGTTCATCATCCTTTATTTGATCCATACGTGATTCCACCAACTGCAAGAGTAACTTATGGTCGGAAATTGATTCTGAGCCCCGTAAATCAAAGGTACTGAAGTTCAGGAAGGATGTCGTCATTATCGTTCGAACGCGTAAGTGCAGAAAGCAAGTCTTTTTCGACAATTTTAGCTGAAACGGCGAAGTGTTTTAGGTTTGTGGCGCGAGTCAGAAGGTCGATCAGGCCGGGTTTTCCAACCTTGCTCCTGGATGCAACCACTTCTAATCTCCTTAATTTATGACAGCGATGATGAGGCAGAATCTCAGGAAACACAAGAACAGTGCCGTCGCTGTCTTCATTGTCCAGATCGAAAGTCAACGAGGACAGTTTGGGAAGCTCTAGAGATTCGAAAAGATGGGCAATGGATGAAGGCGCCACTTCGTCCCATTCCGAAATTACCAGTTTGGTCACTTGGGGCATCAGGATAGGAGAATTTAGGCGCTCGAAAGGCTTGGATGCCTCAAAGTATAGCTTCAGTTTTTTGACATTAGGCGTTTTGCGCAAGAAGGAGAATATGTGTTTAATAAACGGTCCATGAATTGTTAGGTCTGTCAGCCCGTGTCCACCGTCAGGAAGATAGACATGATGGCATAAGGTTGATTCAATTTCCAGAATGCGGAGGCTCTGAGCCATCTCGAAGGCATGGATGCCAGTGGGTGAAGCGGCGTGATCCTCCGGTAGGTATACCTCGAGATAGAGAAGAGACTCGAGATATGATCCATAGGTCGAGAGTGCCGCAAGGGACTTGGAAGGGATGCATGTGCGCAAGTGCTTCCAATAAGGTATGGAAGTTAGGAGGATAGGTATGAAGGCGTGAGAGGATACATCTTTTACGCTCGACAGTCTGATCGTCAGCTGGTACTGACGCGCCCTTTGAAGGTGTAACCCGAGCATAAACTGGTGCAGATGCACATCTTTAGGCTTGAGGTACTGCTCAAAATCAATGGAGAGGCATCTCCACAACGATGCGGTAGATAAAGATACTCTCCGCCAAGAACGACAGACTTGAGACAGTGTCCATGGTGGGTGGCGCGAGTCAAGGGAGTTGAGTGTGTCCCGCTCCTCGAGAAGGTCGTAGACCTCATGAACGCAAAATGAAAAGATATGCCTCAGTACGTCATCGGGAATAGAGCGAACGGGGTGCAGCAATGTTTTAGCGGCATGCAGATTTTCCGTGACTTTTGCTTGACCGTCAAGAAGCGCGTTTAGCGTTTGTTGGGCGTGATCAATCTTCTCCTTCAAAACCGAAAGCAGATTCAAGGATTCGGATGCAGTGGCAAGTAGGGATGCGCGCTCTGTTTCTAGCAGGGGACCATTGCATTTTAGTAACGCTTGGATTCGTGGATCGTCTGAAATTGACTTTGGAATATCAGGACACGTGTGCAAAGAGCAGACTGAGCATATCGGAGGGGAGGGACATAGTTCCATGGAAGAGATTCTGGACGCAAGTTACTAAAATTATTGCCGATTCAGAACAGGGAGCACATACGTGTGTTGGACGATCTAGCGCGATTTAAGGCAGAAATTGGGATTGATTGTCTTGAAGGAGTCTGTAGATGTTCGTCAGATTAATCAACCAGCCACTTGAGCACCGAATTTTACGGCAGGTTCAACGAGCAACGCACATCAGGGTGTCTGAATGTCCCTAGGCAGCGGCCCTCGACTCAAACCCTTGCTGTCGTAGAGCCGTGATAAACTCAGCGTTGCTGTCGGAGTCACCAGAGTAGTAAGACCTTTGAGTTTGCACGACTCTACGGACGGTAGTAGACAGAACAGGATGTTGGAATGAAGGAAAGAAAAATCTTGAGTCTTGAGTGTCACAATCGGCAACTAACCACGTGATTGTGTGATAGTCGCGTCGCGTGAGACCGTCGCGTCAGTCAATGTCACATCAATTCCGATCTCTGCCCTGCCCCAATTCCCGGTCTTTCCCAGCGCCGCCCTGGACTTTGGCCGGCCCCTCAACTTGAAGTAAGCAGGCGCGCGATCTTATCGGTCTCACTCATTTCACTGGAGTAATGCTACGTACGTACCTACCAGGCACCATTGCAGCTGGAACGTATGGGACTAATTCAATCTCGGGAAATTTAAATTATCTTCCTTGGCGCTCTCAGATAAAATCGGCTCGTCGTCTTGCGTTGATCACCACAGAGATCCGTTTTGTCCTAAAGGCGCGTGTGTTGAACTTGAGACATCGTCATCAAAATACTTACTGGCCGGGTTCAGGTTTTCCCCTCGCGGCGCGACCTATACCAGAAGAGAAGGGCTTTAAATGGCTTCTCTACCGGTGCAAGTTTGAACAATCACAGGAGAAATCAAACCCTTGACCACAGAATATCGGAATGGGTGAAAATCCGAATCATCCCTCTCTTTGACCACCATCACGATCCAACTTTTTGTTTTTAGTCTCAGTCACGTACAAGGTATGTTTGATGTACTGTATTGATGAAACTATACAACGTCATTTATCAAAGGAGAACTATATCAGACTACATGCAGATCAGCACGCGAACCATCAGTAGTAATACGAGTCAACGTCGAATTTTGAGTGTCGGTTTTTTAAGTTTACCTGCGGGCGAGCGTTCAGCTAAAATTCCTTTGTGAGCGAGGTGTAGGTCGTCCGATAAATTCAAGGATGTCCTGAAAGGGAGAGACGAAACCAGGCCGGTGGCCTCTTCAACTAGTTTCCTGAGTTCCTTGCTGTCGCAACGCTCGTGGAACATGGAACTAGGATCGAGTTGCTGTTGTAGTTTGACTGCAGCCTTGTACGCTTTGCTGTTGAACAAGCGAGGAGTTGTATCAGTTATCGTCAGTAGAAGGGCCGGTAGTGCGTACGTGGTCTGTATTAACTGGTCATCGAGCACATCGTACTCGTTATGACTACACGCTTTAAGCTTGTCTTGCGTCTTCTTCCTCTGGCTCAGTGTATCGATACGAACTGTCTCGAGACAGACTAAAATGTGCGGCAGCGGTCCCAGAAACAAGTAAAGATATCGCCCGGGATTATCACCGAGCCGGGATACTTCTTTGGTGCACGAGGCGTATATTTCAGCGTGCAGGGCTGCTTTCCTCTCTTAGCAGTAACTCGTCGACGACGGAGGACTTTCCTGTATACTCGTTGAATTAAAAATGCAGCGGCAATCTCCCTTTCTGTAGGTTCCGGGGCTGTGAATGTCATATCTCGTAATGGAATGACATCGACGATACCGTCCGTTTCATCGACGAACTCTTCTTCCCAACGAACAGTCTCCTCATCTGAAAGCCGTGGATATGTCCCAGACATCGCAGCCAGAGGCCCAAGTAGGATGGAGGAACCACCGCGACGGATGTACATAGGCGGAGTGCACGCGTTGGGATATGCCACATTTCCAAGATAATCCGCTTGGCTTTGGTCGAAAATGAGGGCCAAAGTAGTTGCCCGCATCACGTCCATTCGGGAAGTCGTATTGGGATAAAATGCCCGTCTGTAAGTAAGCGTTGTCACCCAATCTTTGACGACGTTCACTGCTCTGGCAGCTTCCGGGATTGTGGAAAGATCAAGGTCGGAGATGGAACCGAATACATGGTGGGGCGGATAAACAGCCTCGTAAAGACGGTTAAGCCAGAATCTGTACCAGAAAATGAACCGGTGTCGTTAGAGAATTATATGACGACATACTCGCTATTCTCCCCGAATGATTGCAAAATCAAGATTTGTTGCAAGTGCAAGCGGACGCGCATGTTATAGTATTCAGCATCTACCACAGAAGCTGGTACATGAGCTTTGAAGAGCTGTCTTGTGTAACCACGTATTTTGGGGCACAAGAAACCCATTCGCGGCGGTGCGTTGGAAACCGAACAATGTGGCAGTCGACATATCTTGGCATGGGTCTATTCGGTATGCCGCAGTGGAGAGTAGGTTCACGTAGATATAGAACAGGTTGAGCTCTTCAACGGCGTCAACGAGAGCCATATCCTGAATTCGAAAAGCCCGAG